AAGTCTGTCTTGCTCTTTGTGTAATCATGGGCGGATGGAGGGGCCCGCTTTGCTCTCACTTCTGGAACATTGACTACAGAAAGATGGTCCTGAAAATTTCTTTTCGGGCAGTTGAGAGTTCTGGTCCATGCATCATCTTAGCCAGCAGATCCCCAGTGGAGGTGAAGTGCAGTGCCTCTTGGTGGTTAATGCACACATTTTTAGTTAGGGTTGAAAAAGAACATTTCTTAGATCTGAATGAGACATTGACATTCTTAAATTTGCATGCCTTTTTGCCCAATTTGCTTTTGGTAGTTCATAATTTTCTCATGGCTATGTAAAAATTTTCAGTATATTAAAAAAAATGTCATGTTTTGTAGATATATTCCCCCACTTTTTGTTTTTTGCTTTTTTTTCTCTGCATTTTCCCGTATGTAGTTAAAAAAATCTTTGTGTATTCAAAATCTACTGGTCTTTTTTTATGTCTGTTTTTTTTTTCCTTGGGAAAGGCTTTCAAATTTCCTCTTAAGGAATCTCTTAAACTTCTTTCAAATTTATTTTGATTTATTATTAAATTCTTTGAATGTCTTTAAAAGATAATCTTGTTGGTATTACTTTGAAGTTTTATGAGCCACTAAGTGCTAAGGTGGCTTTCATACTCCGTGTCAGACACTAACTTACGTGTTAAATTGAACCCAGTCCCTCAGTGTTGAAACAAATACTTCCCTTACACTATGTAGAGTAAGCACCCCTCTGTCCTATCTAAACCATGGCTTTTCTAAGTATTTTTAGATGCAGTTTTTTTTTTTAAATTTTGTTTTGTTTTTTAAACATTTCTTTTGTAACAAACAGATGTGTTATAAATAAGTCTTCAAAAGGTTTCAGTTTTTCGCTGTTGCCTTCTCTCTCCTTTGCCTGTGCTGTCCACCTTTGCCTCCCACTCCCGCATTACTGAATGCAGTTTTCAGGCTCATTACTTCAGGGGTTAGGTCATTTCAATACCATAAGACGTGCCTCAGTACTGGGGAGGAGGGTTCCAGAATCCCCCTCACATACCAAAATTCATGGCTGTCAAGTCTCCTATTTAAAATGGTGCAGTATTGAATGTGACTTCCTGTATACTTAGCTCATCTCTGGATGATTTACAATCTTAATACAATGTAAATAGTTGTTATACTGCAGTGCTTAGAGAATAATGACAAGAAGAACAGTCTGAGTGGTCAGCACACACACACACACAGAGTTTCCACCCATGGTTAGTTGAATCTGGTGATTGTGGAACCTGCAGGTATGGAGGCATGTCTGTATTTTCAATAAAATAGTTTTTGAAAGAAGAACATAAAATCTTTTTAGTTTACTTCTTTCCACCTGGAGGAAAACTTATATAGAAAGATAACTGTAACAGGCCAAAACAAGTGTACAGTAATTCCACACAGCATATTTTTGATCATGTTTATTAGCTATGTGAAATGGCCTTTTGTGGGTTTTTTGGAAACAGAACAGCCATACCTAGTAGATAGCATGTCTTTCAGAATCTTGCCTGTAGCAATTGAGTGTGATCTTCAGACCACCTCTGGAAGCAGAGGCTGGGACAGCGCAGGCTCAGTCAGACTTGGGCTTAAGTCTTCCTTTATGTGACCTTGAGCTTGGTGCTTAGTTGGTTGAGTGACTTGGGGTGCAGCTCCCCATTCTTGGGACTGGATGATGGAGTTAGTGTGAGGAGCACAGTGCGTGGTGGGTAGCGCGACCCGCAACCCTGGGGTCCTGAAGGAGGACCTGTTGGAGGTGCGTGCCTACCTGCACTCTTGCTCTTTCTCCCTCAGGATTCATTTGCCTTTCCAGCCCCACCTGATCTCAGCGACTAAGACAGATAGGATTTCTGTGTGGGGAAGTTTTACATTTAAGAACTTTCAGAGGACTTATTGGAATTTTGGGTGTGTACGTCTTCTAGTCTTTCCTAGCCAAGTAACAGATAATCTGGACTTTTCCATCTGGCTGTTCTGCACATCTTGATATGAATGACGCTGCTCCCCCTCCTTAGAGTTCTACCACCGACGACTGTCCCAATCTTATTTCACAGGCAGTTACCAGGCCTGTGGTCCAGGGTTGCCTTCGGGAAGCCTCCCCTCCGCAGGGGGGTGGGGGCTGCCCTTTCCCTGGGTTTTCTAGGCCTTAGCACTGGATTCCTGCTCCAGCTCTGGACTGGGACTGTTCCTCATCCTTCCTGAGCAGGACCACATTCTGTGCATCTTCCTGTCTCCCGCATAGTTACCTGGGCAGTTGGTGGGTAAATGTATGAATTCTTAGTCAGGCTCCCTCCACACTGGGACTTAAATCTTCTCATCTATAAGATATGGCTCTGGGGAGTTGTCAGCTACTCTCACCACGATCACCAGCGGTGGCCAGATCAGGAGGCTCCTTTGGACTTTTGACACTTGGCAGTGACCATGGCTGCTTGAGCATTTGCCCCCACCCCAGGACTATTCGTTCTTACACTTCTGCTTGCTCCTCTGTTGCTCTTGGTGCTTGGCCTTGGGTGTGAGCTTTGCAGGTCTCTGGGATTTTGCCTAAGGTTTCCTGTCATGCTGAGCTGTGTTTGCAGTGTGCCAGCTTGTCCCCTGGGCACTCCCAAGCCAAGAACAGCTAAGATAGAGTCCATTTCCCCTAAACTGCCCTTGCTGCCCACCTTCTCCCCAGCGTCCATCAGCTGTGAGCTGCCTTTCCCATGCTCTAGTCCTGTCTAGCTACCCACCCTGACCCTCTTCTTTAGCTCACTTCTCTCCCAGCAAGTCTAGGCCTCTGTCCTAGGCCTCTGTCCTCCGGGCATTGGAGCAGTGGCCTCCTACCGTGTTTTTTTGTTCTTTTCCTTCCTATGCAGAAGCAGAGTGCAAATCACATTTTCTTAAAAGAAAAAAAAAAATTGTCAGTGGTTTTTCATTGCTATATTTTATGGCCCCTCCCTCCCTCTCATCTCCATCCCCTGTTCATTTCTCTCCTGCACATTTTTTTTTCTTTTTTCTTGTGGTGCTGGGGTTGAACCCAGAGCCTGTTTATGCGAGCGAGCACTCTACCAACTGAGCTGTATCCCCAGCCCTTCATTTGCACTTTTAATCACTGAGTGCTTCCTTAATGTTGTAGGGTTTCCCCCCTTTTTCTTACTGTCCAGCATGATGGTTCTCATGCCTTGAGGATTGTAAGAATGTGTGCACGGGTGTGTGTTAACAAAGACATTCGGGCACCAAAGATTTTGATTAGAGTAAGATCTGATCTTGTTTTCTTGATCTAAAAAGATGACAGTTTGAAAATAGATGGTCACAAAGATTCTATAAAATCCGTCCGATATGTCAGTAGTTCTAAAATGTTTCTATAGTAATCATATTTTTTTTGAGTGTGTGTGGTAGTAGCAATTGAATGGGGCGAGGGGGGGGGCAGCTGCCACTGTGCTACATCCCCATCCCTTCTTAAATTTTGAGGCAGGGTCCCTCTGAGTTGCAGAGGCTGGCCTTGTACTTGTGATCCTCCTGCTTCAGCCTCCCCTGTTACTGGGATGACAGGTCTGCGTCACCATGCCCAGCTTCACACTTTTTGTTTGTTTCTTTGTTTTTAATATTTTTAGTTGTAGATGGACACAATACCTGTATTTTATTTATTTATTTTTATGTGGTGCTGAGGATGGAACCTAGTTCCTCACATGTGCTAGGCAAGTGCTGTATGACTGAGCCACCACCCCATTCCCCACACTTTGTTTTAAATTATATTAATATACAAGTATGGGAAGAGAGAGAAGGCTGAGGGAGAAGGAGGGAGGTTCCTCAAACATAGGGATTTGGAACTCCCTACTGCTGTGGCCCAGCATTTCCACCTGCTTGGTGACATTCACCCTCAGGCTTCTCCTTTATGATGTCCTTAAACCACAATCTGCAAACTTTTTAAAGAGGCTGTCTAATATTGATTGAAATTCTGTGCATATGTTTCCTATTTATATTAGATATCAGAATTACCCTGGGCCGGTGCTGGGCCTGGGCGTTTGTACATGTCCTGTGGCTGCCCCTTGGGCATGCACGGTGAGGGACTTATAGGTGTCAGACCTTATTTTCCTCAACTCTTGGGTAGACGGTATTAAATTCTTTTTCTAAGATTTCTTATTAGGAAAGAAATTTCTTTTTAAAGAATTTCTTCAAGATCATATCCTAATTTTTATTCAGAGATTTGAAAAAAAGAATTGATATATTTGGAAGTTTTTTGACTGTAAAAAGCTATGGAAGTGCGAACAGTTTTTAATATCAAGAATACTGACTTTTCTGATGTATTTTACTTTGGGTTTGATTTTTTAAAATGCTGTTGGAACCCTTTAGGAGCATAAGCGCTGCAGCCTGTCCGGGACACTGGGCTCAGGCGGGTGTGTCGGAGAGCTGTGCCTCTCGAGGGGCAACGAACGGAGCCCTTCTGTGGAGCTCGGGGAGAGAGCAGCCAAGGCCCCAGAGCCTTCGCCTCTCCCGGGGGTTTTGTGGTTGCTGGCCATTGTGAGGCCATCTGGAGGTGCTGCTGGGGACTTGGGGAGGAGTTTCCCTGTGGCTTTCTGAAGGCCGCAGGTCTGTTGTCAGTCCTCTTACTGTCCCTGAGACTAAGCCGCCAGGGCCCTTGGTTGACAGGCGTGGCGTTTAGAGTGTGCAGGCCCCACTCCCACTGCCAGGGATGCCCTGGAGCACTGTGGAGGCCAGCTCCTCTTCCCCCAGGAGAGTTAGTGCAGGGCTCCAACGCCTGGGCTCCCTGTGCCACACAGGTGCCCTTCCAGACTCCCCGACCTGGGCCCATCTGACCGTGCCAGGTGCAGTGTGCACAGAGGGTGTCGAAGCTTGAGGTTCCTCCCTGGGCAGGCTGGATTTTTGTTTGTTTGTTTTTTAAACTGGAAGCTCTTAATTTTATGTAACCATGATGTTTTTGTCCTGAGAATTTAAATGTACCATAAAATGAAAAATTCAAGTCTGTTGCTAATGCAAAATTTTGATTTTTCTTTACAGGTCAACTTTGTAGTGTGCCAACTCTTTGCCTTGTTAGCAGCCATTTGGTTTCGAACTTATCTACATTCAAGCAAAACTAGCTCTTTTATAAGACATATAGTTGCTACCCTTTTGGGCCTTTATCTTGCACTTTTTTGCTTTGGATGGTAAGTATTATTTTGATCACGTTTAAATGAAGACTATTTGGATATATTTGAGAATTGAGCTGCTAAAGATACATTTAAGGGTTTTGTTCTTTTATTTGCTTATAAAGTTTTCTCTCAAGACTTAACATTTTTATTTTTAATAGCAGAACAAAGAGTGGGGAATGGGCTGTCACTCTTTGGTTGGTCTTAGAGAGGAATTTACTAAATTGTAACTTATGAAAAAGGAGAGATAAAAAAGGATGTAAAAAGACATTTTCATCTGGCTGGGTAGTTCTTTGCAGCACTTTGCAAATCTTTTATGCCAAGACAGAACATTTTAAATGGTTGTGGTGCTGGTGATGGTTTTCTTTCTTTTTTTTTTTTTGGTGCTAGTGGCTTCTAAGAGTCCGGTAATGTCCATATTGAGAGAGCTCTCTTACCACTGTTTAGGTTCTACCGTTGGCAAAAAGAGTGTGCTCTTGGTGAAGAAAAGTTATTTATGATGGAGAGCTTTATTTGTGTCCTTCGTGTGGGCCTGGGTGGTCCTTCAGTGAGCCCCTTCTCTATCTTGGGCTACCTGAGAGCCTTCATCCAGAACAGCGCCTCCTGGGTGCCAGGGAGAGCATCTTAACCAGGTGGACTCTTGGTGAAGGGCTGCTTGGTGCCTCCCTCTGGTGTCCTTTCTAGGACACTTACCTTGCGTGTCACTTGCTGATTGCTCACCACTCCAGGAGGATGCCAGGCTGCTTGAGAGCAGAGTGCGGTGAGGTGGAAGTGCACCCGCATGGTCTGTCCCAGCCACTTGCCCCCATGGGGTGTGGCACCTGCAGTCTGATGACACTGCTGTTTGTTCTGGGATGATGTAGCATTCTGGAGTGTGTTGGTATTTCTTAGTCTAATTTTTGCCTCTGGCAATTGCAGGTGTTTCCTAGAAACTCATGAAAAGTCACTGAGGAATGATTTATTGTGTCCCTGCCTGCATGGCCCTGTAGCCAGCCTTGAGTCAGGGTGCTGTCTTGGGCATGCATGTGTGCAGGAGGAGGTGTGAGTTGATCTCCCAGGTGGATCCAAACATGGTCTTTTCCTTCCTTGATGACATCAGATTTGTGTCATCAAAGTTTTCTTGGGTAGAAACCAAGGCTTCTGGTAAATCATGCAATGGGGGGAAAATATAAACATTAATGTGTTTATATTTATTTATGTTTATTTATAAACACCCATTTAAAAAACTTTTTATTATGAAAAATTTTAAACATAGGAGTACACACTCTCAGGTGCCCATTACCAGCTTCAACAGGTATCAAACCCTACCATTCTTTCTTATCCCAGTTTATTTTTCTAGAGTGAAGTACATTTCTGCCTATACATTTTACACATAAGTAACTTGGGTTTTCAATATGTACTTCTGGAATGTTCTCATGAGGGTTGGAGGAGGTTGGCCAGGGCATATCACTCAATTTGTGGCCTGTGGCAACAGTGGATGATGATGCTGGGACCCTGTAACATAGAGGTAGGGCCGGCAGGTTTCTCTGCTTCACTGTTCTTTACTGATGAAGCACTTCCTTGACATGCAAGCTGCCTTGGATGCTTCGTAACATGGTGGCACATGATACCTGGCTTTAATGTTAGATAATTGCAAGTTTTTTTTTGGTACTGGGCATTGAACCCACGGGCGCTCTACCACTGAGCTACATCCTGAACCCTTTTTAATTTTGAGACAGGGTCTTGCTAAGTTGCTGAGGCTGACTCAAATTTTCGATTCTCCTGTCTCATCCTCCTGAGTTGTTGGCATTTCAGGCAGACACTGCCATGCCCAGCTATGTAATCTTAGTATTTCAAGTTATATGTGATAATCAGGATTTTTAAAAATTGAGTTTTCCTTTCTTAAAAGAGAAATCCATTTTGCTCTCCTTCCTTTGGGAAGAGAGGTGTTGATGCCTCTGCATCATGTGTAAGATCACTCTTTGCTAGTTGAATTTAGCTAGTGAGAAGTGAAATATTTTTCTCATTTACATTTTAGCACTTTGTTTTTCAGGCTTAAAGGTAATCATCTGTTACTGGTTTTTACAACTTCCTTTTGGAAGGACATACATTTGTACTCTGTAATAATTGATTATTTTACCTACTTCTGCTTGTTCTCAATTTTTTTTTAAACTATCATCTGTAAGGTTTTTTTTTTTTTAAACTGAAAATTAGTTAATAGTTAAAATCATTTAAATACCTTTGGTAACTGTATAGGGTACTGAAATGAAGCTTAGACTTTGAAGTCAGATAGACCCGATGAGGTCTGGGGGCTTTGCCTGTAGCGGTCTGACTTTGGACTTGTTATTTGACCCCTGTTAGCTTCACTTGCTTCTGTGTAAAGTGCAGTCAGTGATTATTCTGAGCACTAAAAGCCAAGGTGCTACAGCAAACGCTGTGAGCAGGGGCCATTACTCAAGGTCACTTATGTGTCACAGGTTGAGTATCCCTTATCTGAAACGCTTGGGACCAAAAGTGTTTCTGGTTCCATAGTTTTTGAAATATTTGTGTAGACTTCAGTAGTTGAGCATCTCCCATCCACAAACCTGTCCTCTGGAATGCTCTGGAGGCAAGCCGTTGGGAGTGAATTTGTAGATTACAAATGCGCAAGCTGGGTTCCTGTCACATAGTTGGTGATCCAGATTGGAAATTTTTGTGTTTATCCAATTTCTTTGTTAGTGTTTATCATACAGTATTGGAGTAGTGTTCTTGTTTTATTTGTGTGTTTCTCTCTAGACTGGAAGCTCTCTGAGGCCAGAAATGGTGTCACCTATTCTTATATTTCCAGTGTCTACCACAGTGGTTTTCAGAAAATGACAATTCAGGAGACGGGGGTTATAGCACAGTGGTAGAGTGCTTACCCAAAAACCTGGAGACCCTGGGTTTAATCACCAACACTTCAAAATAATAATAATAATAATAATAATAATAATAATAATAATAATATTATTATTATTATTCAATAAGTAGTTGAAAAAATCAAATGTTTTCAGCCTTTTTCAAACTTGTGCTCCATTAAATAAATTTATGTCTATCTTTAGTGTGATTTGAAATTCAAAATAAATAACATGTGTTAGTTAAAAACAAATTAAGGCTAGCTGGGTGTGGTGGTGCATGCATGTAATCCCAGTGGCTCTGGACTGGAGGCTGAGATAGGAGGATCACAAGTTCAAAGCCAGCCTCAGCAACGGTGAGGTGCTAAGCAACTCAATGAGACCCCGTCTCTAAATAAAAAATACAAAATAGGGCTGGGGATGTGTCTCAGTGGTTGAGTGCCCCTGAGTTCAATCCCTTGTACCAGAAAATAAAATAAAGTAAAAAATAAAATAAAAATAGGGCTAAGCATGTAGCTCAGTGGTGGAGCATTTGCCTAGCATGCATGAGGCCAGCATGGTTCCATCACCAGCACCTCTATCAATCAGCCAGTCAGTCAATAAAATACTAATACAACTGAAGTAAAAAATAAATTAAAATTTGGGGAGAAAGCATTTATTTTCAAAGTGCTCACACAGCTGAAAAGATTATGATGCACATTCTACCTCACCCCGCCCCTTGAAGAATCAACCAGTGGCCAGAGACAACACAAGTTTTCTTGTTGACTAGAATACCAGCTGGGTGTCAGACCTTAGTTTCCTTAACTCTGAAATTATGAAGGTTGGTTAGAGAGCATCTTAAAATTCTTTTTTTTTGAGAGAGAGAATTTTTAATATTTATTTTTTAGTTTTCGGTGGACACAACATCTTTGTTTGTATGGGCCACATGCATGCCAGGCGAGCACGCTACCGCTTGAGCCACATCCCCAGCCCCATCTTAAAATTCTTTTTCTAATTTTTTTTTTTAGAAAAGAAAACTAAAGAATTTCTTTAAAATTTTCTAATTTTTTTACTCTATTAATAATGCTTACTAGTTGGGTGCTTTCCCTGCCAGGTAACCCGGTCAGTGCTTTCCTTGTATTCACTCAGTCCTGAAAGACCCAAGTGGCTGTTGTAGATCCGTTGCACCCATCTTCCTAATGAGGACAGGCGGAGTCGCTCAGGAAAGCACGAGGACATCACAAGTGCAGTAACCATTCGAACAGCAGCTGGTGCTGGATGTGGAGGTGCTCTAGACAGCTGCCCACGCGTTGCACTGCATCCACAAGATTGCCAGGCAGGTCGTCAGAATGGCGATGCCAGGAGAGTGGGCACCTGAAAGTGACAGTAGGCACCATAGTGCTGTTTGAGAAATAAAATCATTGGCCTCAGAGTTTTCATGTCTTGTATTCCAAGGAAATTTACTCATAGAAAAGTAAAATTTTCCCCAAAGAATACTACAGCTTATTTTCTTTTCTCTTGTTTAAGATAAGTGCCTTTAATGAGCTGTGCTCTCAATTTTAAAAGCCCCTAAAAGAATCTAGCAGGCCCTTCAACATGTTCGCTCAAGTCTGTGAGTGAGTTGTTGTGCTGGCAATAAATAGGATGTGGATGATTTTGAGAAGGGTGTGTGTTAATCATGCTTTTCTTTTAAGCCTCTTTATATTTGAATTTATACTCGTAAAGGTCTTCAGCCATCTCCTAGCGCTCTCACCACGGCAGCACTGCAGGCCAGCATTGTGTCCTGTGTGTGAGAGACAGGAGCAGAGCGGCCTGCCTGGCCCAGTGGGCAAAGGGAGTTGCTCCTCTGTGCCTGCCTTGGACCTTCTTCCTTACGTACGGAAAGTGTGTTCAAATATTTAAGTAACTTTTCTACATCAGTGGTGGCAGTTATTTCATAATGATTAAGTTAAAAAGTGATTCTAATCATAGGTTTTAGACACTTATTAATACTTCAGTTGTACACAGTGATTTGAAATTTTTATCATGAATTATTGATGCCACCAAAGGAGAAAGATTGAAAGAGGGAGCACGCACATGCGTGACCTCAGTGATGGTGTGATGGATTTTAATCCCAGAGATCCTAATCCTATGTTGCCTGAATTTTGTGAAATGAATGGATAAATTCTCTCATTTGTTTATTTTCTATATTAAGATATTAGAAAATGCTTCCATGTAAGCTAGAGTGTCTTGTAGATACATTACAGCAAATTATCAGATGACAAATGTATTCTAAATTTATTAGAATTGTTTTGTGAATAGATTTGGGCATACTCATTTTTTAGTAAGCGCTAATACTCAGTACTTTTTGTTGTTTTGTGAGTACAGTTGTTCAACAGAGAAAGGCAGAGTCAAGCTAGGGTTGGAGAAGGCAGCTTGGGAGCAGCGGATGTTGTGCAGGGCTTCCTTGAACACTGCCCTTCACTCACTGGCTTGAGTAGGAGGAAGGCTGTGATCCTTGAGCCACAGACCCCACCCTGCTTCCTGTTGCTGGGAGACATGGAATCCTGGGCCACTGAGTGTAGTGTTTAGGGGTTGGTTTCCAGCTTCTGGGGCTGAACATGGGACTACTTCTCCAGTGAATTTTTGGATTTTTGGCTTTGTAGGTTTTATTCCTTATTTTTTTAATCTGGGAATGTTCTGGGTTCTAAGTATTTGTTAGCTTAAGTTATTGGAGCTCGATGTCTGTGACTTTTTCTAACAGGACTCTTACTTTGTTACAGGTATGCCTTACATTTTCTTGTGCAAAGTGGGATTTCCTACTGCATCATGATCATAATAGGAGTGGAGAGCATGCACAAGTGAGTACTCAACTCAGAGAATTTTATTTGTTATACTAAAAATAATTCTGAATCATGATTCCTTAAGGGAAAAACTGCCGAGTTGGTGCTACGCATCACTTCCAGTCACTTAGAGTGTAGCTGCTCACCTCTGCATTGCTGGCATGTTAGGGTGGCTAGTTCTTTGATGTTCAGGACTGACCTGTGCACTGAAGGACCTTTAGAAGATCTTGGCAGCACCCCCCAAGTGTGACAACCATGAGTCCAGATGTTTTCAGATGTCCTGTGGTGCCATATTGCCTCCACTAGTCGATAGGTGACAGCAGTGAAGTCGGGTGGAGTGAATGAATTGGAGAGAGACTTGGGTAAATTTAGAAGGGGTGGATGATTGACGGGTAGTGCGGGTAGAAAATAAGGAAGTCCCAGGTTCCATACTCTACTCGAAAGTGGGGATCATTTTGAGGATATAGAGCATTTCAAGTGGGTATTTATTCAGCCCCTAAAACAATGTTTGGTGTATAGTAAACACTCAATAAGTATTTGTTGAGTAAATAATGTTGACTTTAAGTAACTGGAGACATGTAATGGCAGTTGGGTAGCTAGGTCTACACATATTGGGATCTGGATAGGAGGATTAGAGATATAAATTTGGAAATATGTAAAAGGTACTTAATGTAAAACCCAGGGACAGAGCATACTAGCAGTTCCTGCTGGAGTGTTCCATAATACCTGACAAGTGATATATAACATTTGTCCATTATTTTTCAAAATTTGGAAACACAAATGTCTGCAAGAGTTTTGCACAAGAAATCAGCCCAGCAGCTTTTGATGAGTGCTTTTCTAAGTCTCACTTTATTTTGCATCTTCTGTGTTTACACTATTCATCACCCTTCTGTTGTGTTCTTCACCAATCAATGGTTAAAAGTTCTTGAAGTTTGAGTTAGTTTTTTTTTTTAATATTTATTTTTTAGTTGTAGTTGGACACAGTACCTTTATTTTATTCATTTATTTTTATGTGGTGCTTTTTTATAGGATCGATCCTAGGGTCTCGCACATGCAAGGCTGAGCCACAATCCCAGCCCTTGAATTAGTTTTTATAAGAGAAAAAAGAACATTTTGGTGGTGTTTTAGGTGAAGCAATCTGCACCTTTATGATCCTGTTTTTAAAACCTTGTATAGATGGCTGGTTCAAAGTAAAACTGCAGTACCCTTGATATCTGATAAAAACTAGCTGTATGTTTTTCATCTGGAGATGGTAGGAGAAAAACCAGATTACGTTACTGAAAACAGGATTTATGTGCTACTTACTTGCTAAAGCAGAAGTAATATGCCTTGGGGTTAGAAGGTTAGTTAGGGTTAGCAAGAAAAAGGAAATTATTTCTTTTCTGAACCAATAGAAATCTGTGAAGTTAACTTTCTAGTACTTTGGACAAGTACTGTTCAATATGGTAGCCACTAGCTACATGTGGTTAATGTTAATTTAATGTAATATGTTAATTAAAACTTACAGTTCAGGTCCTTAGTTACACTAGTCACATTTCAGTTGTTATACAGCCACATGTGAGTAACATAGAGAACTTTTCTGTTATTCAGAAAATTCTATTGGATAGTGCTTCTTTAGAGACAAATAGTTGGGTAAAATCTTTATGGTAAGACAGATGGTTGTGTGTTTTTTCTTTATGTAAGTTTTTGGAGAGAAAATGATAGTTGTGTATATGTAACTGACATTTAGAACAGAATTCAGGTGTTGGAATCTGACACTGCTGATGGAACTGATTAGGATGAGTTGGGTTTTGCCATCTGAATTGTTATTAGGAAACAAATAGCAGGGGAATAATTAACTGGAAAAATGTGTGTTTTGATATTTTAAGGTCTCTTCTGTTTCATTTTATACCCATTTATGTTTTTGTGTTTGACTTTATTTTTTCTTTCTTGTTACTCATATATGCTCATTTTAAAAAAATTTTTTAGTTGTAGATGGACACAATGTCTTTATTTTTGTTTGTTTATTTTTATGTGGTGCTGAGGATCAAACCCAGGGCCTCACACATATGAAGGAAAAGCTCTGCCACTGAGCTACAACCCAGTTACACTAGATGGATGGGATTTGAACATTCTTATGTGTTGCTCAAAGTTATTGTCCACGTATTATATAATTCTACTTACATCTTTCAGTCTAGTTTTACGTGGTATGCATATTTTTTTAACAGCTGGGTTTTAAATGTTTTAAACGAATAATTTGTACTTCTCCGAGTACTCAACAGTTTTAAATTTCTTGAATCTATCTGCTTTATGGTCTTTATGAGGTGTTTATTGTATCATTGTTCTCTAAAACAGATCCGTGTGTAAATTAAAATCTTTTGACACAATATAAGCTTGATTTTTTGTAGCTCCCTTCATTTAACATTCATATACAGGCTGTATTATTCTGGTCCATATTAGGTAATTTACTTGTGAAACTTAACTTATTCTAATATTCACTGTTTTTTTTTTTTTTTAATAGCCAGTATTTTCAAATAAACTTTAAAAATTTTGAGGAAAAATAATTGAAAAGTTTAGGTGATAAAGACTAAGGAAAAATATTTAGGGAACAGAGTATTCTTACATATCTTATTAGTTAGTTTGGGCTTTTGTGACATAGTACCATAAACTGATAAAAAATGGAAATTTCTATCACAGTTCTGGAGGCTGAGCAGTCTAAGATCAGGCTCACAGATTTGGTCTGGTGCAGGCTGGCTTCTGACTCATAGTTATTGAGATTCTCTTTGTAACCTCACGTGGTAGAAGGAGCAAGAGAGCTTTCTAGGTCTCTTCTCTATGGGCATTAATTTCATTATGAGGATTCTGCCATATGATCTAATCACATCCGCAAGACTCCACCTCCAGATATCCTCACATTGGGAATTAGGTATCAAGATTGACATTTAAGCAGTGATACAAACATTCTGTAGTGCTACACATTGGATATTAATTCTTCTTAATTTAAGAGAGTGCAATGTTTGCCTGATTCACACAGCAGACTTTGTAAAGGACCAAATAGTGAACTTTGGCTTTTGGGTTGTAAAACATATACACTCTGCTGTTACAGCTCAAAGACAGCCACAACAAATGAGCATGGCTGTGCTTCAGTTATGTTTTAATTATGAAAGAGGTTGTGAGTTGAATTTGTTCAAACGTGAAAACTAAGATTTTTAAGAGTGGGAAGCAGAGAGATTCTTTATACCAACTTAAAAATATGTCATAAGTTTGGTTTTTTGCTAAGTGTAATTTTAAATGTTATATAGCACAAATAGTGGACTATCTGAGCTTTGTTTATTAATGGCTCACTTTGAATTACTGTTCTAAACCAGATAGTTTCCTAAAGAGATGGTGGAAATGTTTGCCTTCCTCTTGGTATAACTTATTTTGGTAGAAGGGAAGTGGAATAATGAGGTAAGAGCTGATATTTAACACTTAAAGTGAAGAATATGTTATTCAAAACAACAAAAAAGGAATATGGTAAAAGTAAAGGCTTATGAACACATAAATTGTTATTTTATTAGAGATGAATAGTCCTGCAGCTCAGGAGGTGGAGGTAGGAGGATCACAAGATCAAAGCCAGCCTCAGCAATTTAGTGAAGTGGTAAACAACTCAATGAGACCCTGTCTCTAATAAAATTCAGAATAGGGCTAGGGATGTGGCTCAGTGGTCGAGTGTCCCTGAGTTCAATCCCTGATACTAAAAAAAAAAAAAAACAGAGAGAGAGAGAGAGAGATGAACAGTCTAATAGTGAAAATTTTAAATTGATTCACAATAGCATCAAAAAGAAGAATATGCTTAGGAATAAATTTAATGAAGCACGAGACAACTATACTGGAAATGAAAAGCACTGCTGAGTCTAAGTGAAGTTAGCCAATCCCCCAAAAAACAAATGCCGAATGTTTTCTCTGATATAAGGAGGTTGACACTCAGTGGGGTAGGGAGGGAGAGCATAGGAGGAATAGATGAATTCTAGATAGGGAAGAGGGTGGGAGGGGGCAAGGAATTAGCAAGGATGGTGGAATGTGATAGACATCATTATCCAAAGTACATGTATGAAGACTTGAAAAAAAAAAAAAGGAAAGCGCTGCTGAGAAAATAAAGAAGTCCTAGATAAATATACCATGATAAATATACGAAGGTATACCATGTTCATGAATTGGAAGTTAAGATGGTATTTTATCTGTATTTGATTAATAAATTCAGTGCATTCCTGTTAAAATTCTTACAGATATCTTTGTAGATGCTGACAAGATGATCTCAAATTTTAAGTGGAAACACAAAGGACCTGGGATAGCCCCTAAAGAAAAAGTTGGAGGGCTTACAGTACCTCATTTCAAAACTTACCTTAAAGCTCTAGTAATTAAAATAGTGTACAACAGGTGTGGGGGTAGACATGCATATTAGCTGAGCAAAATATGGTCAAATGATTATTGACCAAAGTACTAGGGCAGTTCACTGTGCCAAAGGATTATCATTTCAATAGTGGTACTATGACATTTGAACAACACATGCAAACAAATAATCTTTACCTTTACCTTAAAACACACACACAAATTAACTTAAAATACATTGGAGGCTTTCATGTGAGACCAGAAATTCTACCATTTGTAGGAGCAAATATTTTTGACATTGGAGTAGGTGAAGGTGTGATGATATTAAAAACATGAACAACAAAAGGAAAATTGATGGTTTTGACTTCATTTAAAATAAAACAGTTTGCTCTTCAGAAGACACTGTTCATAAACTGAAAAGGCAAGCCACAGACTAAAATAAGTTTGCAAAAATTTATCTGATAAAGAATTATAACTGGGGGCTGGGGTTGTAGCTTAGTGGTGGAGTGCTTCCCTTGCATGTGTGAGGCACTGGGTTCAGTTCTCAGCACCACATAAAACTAAATAAGCAAAATAAAGGTATTGGGTCCATCTACGTCTAAACAAAAAATATTTAAACATAAATTGTATCTGGAATATTTAAAGAACTATTACAGCTCCATATTAAG